GTGCTCTCTCTCTCTCTCTTTTTTTAATGATAATATTTACTCAGTTGATTAGGATGGGAAGGATCAAGGGTTAGAGGAATGTGGGTGAGACCATTGTTTCTATATTCTCTTTTTCTTTGTCTTCCTGTATCTGGGGGAAGGAAGAAGACAAGGGAAGAAGCTGCACCCAGCCTCCTAACCACTTACTGTGCCCTAGGATGTCATCCTGGGGTCCCTGATGTGGGGCATGCTGCTAGGATCCTGCTCAAGTTGTTTTGCTAGTTCAATAGTTCAATAGTTCTGAATTGCTGTCAAACTTGCTGCTCCAAGCATGATGAAATCCATCCAGGATCCACTGGCTGATGTAGTCCACCTTAAAGTCTCCATTTTCCCAGATAGTCACTGCCAACGCTTAGCTGGGGTAGAGGATCATTTTGTTCTGTCCCTCCTATGTTATGGTACCAGGCATGCTCTGCAGGCTCTGCCATATCCTCCATGTGCGCCTGGATATGCTGTCCACTGCTCCATCTAAGCCACTGAGGAGGCCCAGCTCTGACACATGTACTCCACAGTCAGATTATAGAACCTGTAATTTTCCTCATGATTAGAGTTCTGAGATGAGAAGTTCAGTTGTAGAGACTCTCCAAAGAAACCTCATCTGAGATTATCCTAGACATGATTCCTGTGTGCGCTTGCCAATACAGGGTCCGGCTCAGTTTATCACCCACATCAGCCTATGTACATACTGGTGGCTGCAATTGCTAGGTCAGTTTTGTCTCCAGCCCCATCTCCTACACAAACCAATAGGTGTTGCAGCCCAGCCCGATCCTGCCTACCACACACTCAGCCCTCACATACACCAATGGGAGCTGCAGCTTAGGTGGAGAGAAACTCAATAACCCCCACCAGGCCCACCCCCAGCCCTTGTACATGTCAATGGGCATTAAAGTCCAGCTCAATCCAACCAGTCCCACTAACCAGCCCACATTCATGCCAGCGAGTGTCACTTTGTCAAGCCATGCCCACCTCTAGCCCTGGTTCTCATGTCCACCAGTCAGAGTGAAAACTCAAGAGAGATTTGCCCACAGTTTTCCTACTGGGTCCACTTCTGAATCTTGAACTCTCTAGGTGGTTCTGCAGTTTAGCTTGACAGGATTTACTCCCTGCCCCAGTGCTAGCACCTGCCAGCTAATGCTGTGGCAAAGCCCAACCAACCTGCACCCACTTTGGCTTATACCTGCTCCAGTGGATACAGTCAGCCTAGTCTGGCTTTCCCCCTAACTCCCGTTCACATGCAGACCAATAGATGTTGTAGCCCTGCCCGGCCTGGTCTGCTTCCAGTTCCAGCTCTCAGCTTATCAGTGGGAGTAATGGCTCGACAGGGACGTCCTCTGCAGCCCCTCTGCTGGGTTGAATGCTCACCTCCCCACCCGCCACGTCTTCTGTGTGCTGGTTGGGCACTGCAGTTCAGTCTGGCATGGCCTGCCTCACCTTGGCATTTGCCAGTGGGTGCTACAGCCTGGCCCGCCATGGCCTACTCCCAGTTCCAGCTCATGCTGGTAGGAGCTAGAACCTAGCCCAGCCCAGCCAGCCTCTAGTCTCAGCTCTAATGTGAACTGGCTGGCATTGCAGTCTGACCTGGCTTGTCCTGCACCCCATTCTGGTTCTCGGATCTGCCAGTGGGTGATATGAACGGGCCCAGCCCGGCCTGCTCCCAGACCTGAGCCATATGTATGCTGGTGTGTACTGCACCCTGGCCTGGTCTGAGCTGCTCCCAGCCTTCGTCCTTGTGCTCACCTGCAGGGACTGCTGCCCAGCATAGGAGTTCCACAAGCTCCTCAATCAGAACCTCTCCCAGTGCCAGATCTCCTGTAACCCGTGAGTCCATGGCCCAGCCTGACTTAGTCCACCTCCTGTCCTAACAGGAACAGTGGCCTTTACTGACCGGCTCACACCCATTCTGGTTCTTATTGTTGGGTGTTATAGCCTAACCAAACATGAGCCACACCCAGACACAGCTCATGGCTCATCAGGGGCAGTCAGTGGTATGCTGGTCCAGGGCTCTGCCCATCCACCAGAGTCCCAAGCTCCTGGCACATGTGCTGGCCTGGTGCCTTACCCCTCCACATACCCAAGATCCAGGCCGATTTAAGTTTCCCAGGCCTGGTCCACCAGCACACAAGGTCAGCATGGTGACCTGGGACTCTTCCCTTCCCTCTCCTCACCTCGCCAAGGACCAAGCACATGAGGAAACCCCAGGTTAGCTTCACCTGCATGGATGTAGGCTCCCAGGTCCCTACATACCCCACCGGTGCTATGTCCCTAGTGCCTCCGCACGCCCATTTCCTCAGGTCCTCAAACCCAGTGTGTGGGAATGATTGCTCTGCTTTTAATTCAGTTCCACCTGGAAGGCAGTGGAAGAGGTCCCAATTGCTGGGACCTAATGTCCACACGGGAGACCTGGACAGAGTTCCTGGCTCCTGACTTTGGCCTGCCCCAGCCCAGACTGTCATGGCTATTTGGGGAGTGAATCAGTGGGTAGAATAGCATGTTCTCTGTCAGATTGCCTTTAAAAATAAGTGAAATATATATATATATATATAGAAAGAGCTGGAGCCAGATGTAGAACCAGGGACTCTGATATGGCAATCAGGGTGTCTTACCTGTATCTTCACTGCCAGGCTAAATGTCTGGTCCCCCATACCCACATAGTTTGAATGTGTTCCTCAAGGGTTCATATCCATTGTGATGTACTAAGAACTTAATCCACCAATGGTGATTAGGGGTGGGATCTTTGGCAGATAATTAGGTCATCAGCCTAGAGACTCCATAACTAAATACTGGTGGCTACATAAAAGACAGAGAACAGACGACACAGGCACACAAGTGTCCTCCCTCTTTCTTGCCCGGTGACGCACTTTGTCACCTCAAGTGTAGTGCTTTGTCAGATACAAGCTCTTGTTTTTGAGTTTGCAGAACCTCTTTATAAAGTTCCGCAGACTCTGGTATTTCAGAAGAGTACACAACACAGACTAATACAAGCCTGACGAATGACCCGTGGGATTTCAGAATGGTCAGGAGAGTTACCCGACATCAGCAGACTTAGGACAAAGCATCAAAAGGAATGAGGAAATGGGTGCAAGAGGAGAGAAGGAAAGAGTCAGCGGAGATGCACAGAACAGGTGCACCTTTGTGGAAGACTGCTCACCTCAAGATATTCATGTATCTAGGTGTTGTCACTCAGTGATGAATGAAATTCTCTGCAATGAAGAGTCAAAGACTTGAGGCAGTCAAGTGACTCCAGGCAGACAGTATCTGACAGAGAAGTTGAGAGTACAAAAGAACAGCCGGTCTAACCAGGAGTGGCTTTCTGGGTTACAGCATAGTAAGTCACAAGGAATCTTGAAGAACATCTGAGAAAGAAGGATAATGTGTGCAAAGCCATGGAGATAAGAATGTGCGTGCAGGGAGTGGAATTCTGCAGGGCCAAAGAGTGTAGGGTTGAGACTTGATTTGGTAACCAGCAATGTTGACGTTCACCTAAATGTCAGGTGCTGTTTCAGGAATGGAGATTTTGCAGGAGAATGCATAATCTTCTGAGACTGTTATGTCAAAATCGCACAAGTTCACTCAGTGTCAGCAAATAAAAAGGATCAAGGAAAGCTCTAACAAACTATGGGCAGACTGAAGAGAGGATGGGTGGGTGGAAAGCCCAATTTATAGGGGGCACTCAGGAAGGGTTCTCTGAGCGGATGGTGTTTCAGCTGGGTCTAAAGAATGAGCTGGAGTTGGTGAGTGCCAAGATGAGCAGCATCTAAGGTGGTTCATAGGCCCAGAAGCTGGAGGGTTCCAGGGAAGACTGGCCAACGTTTGTTCCACACACCTTCTGGAAGTGGGGTGCTGAGAGTCCAAAACAGGGGAAAGATTTCCCACCAGGAGATACTAAAAAAAAAAAAAAGTCCCAAACTTAAACTTTGTAAACCAACAACAGTAGGAATCCAGATATTTGTTCTGCTTCTTGGCCAGAACACGTGTTCATTTCTGAGTTCTAATATCCCTTCCAACAACTTCTCCTACAGACCAAGGTGGAGGTTTAGCGGCAGACAGCCTCCAGGGTACACCAGTAAATAAAGTCTAGGTGACGCCAGATGCTAACAGTGATTTTTTCTGTCTCACACACAGAGAGAAGGCCGGGAGATGAGCTCATGAACAACAGTGATTCCACTAACACAAATGGCAACTCCAAGGTCAAGTGCTTTGAAGGACCTCCAAGTGCCTGATAAAGCTAGGGCCAGCGTTAGATCCACGCCTGTAAGACAGGGTTAAGAACTCCTCGTCCGTGATGATTTCAAACAGCAAGAAACGTTCAAGGTAGAGCAGAACCTGTTAACATTGAGGGAAAGTCTTTGTCAGCCACCCAGGACTGGCCGGCGCCTTCACTGGGTCGATTCGTGTTTATGAAGCCAGCCGAGTCCTACGAATCACGTTTCATTCGCCAAACGCAGTGTCCAGGGTAGGGAGTTCTGGGTTTGTGGGGGTCTACGATGCACCGCAGGCGGGGACGGGGGCGGCGGAGCGGTAGGTGCGTTTCCTTGAGCCACACATCTGGAGCAGACGCCCCTTAAAAAAGGTCACGACGTGCACCAGACAGCAACGGCCGTGAGGTTGTCTGCCGCCATGCTGGGCCAGGTCTGAGACCCCTTCCTCACAGAAAGCCGCCAGGATTCCTCTGAAGACAACAAGAACACCACCACACCCTGTCACACTCCGCCGGCGGCTATCTCCGACCCCAATGACAGGCGCGCCAAAACCCAGCCTCACCGGGGGGGGGGGTTGCACACCCTGTTGCGGTGCATTGTGGGGCGGGTAGTTCAGACTGCCGCGTAGCTACGGACTGTCGGAGCTCTAGAACTACATTTCCCAGCAAGACTCGAGAGCCGTGTACCTTGTGCGTGAGCTCCCAGACTTCCGGGCGAGCCGAGGGGCGGGACTGCAGCGGCGGAGGCTGGAGTGAGGAGGCGTCGGGATGCAGCGCCCCGGGCCCTTCAGCACCCTCTACGGGCGGGTCCTGGCCCCGCTGCCCGGGCGGGCCGGGGGCGCGGCCTCCGGCGGAGGCGGGAACAGCTGGGGCCTCCTGGGCTCCCACGTGCAGCCTCCGGGGCGTGCACAGTCGGGGACCCGCGGCGCCACCGGCAGCGCGAGCTCCAGCGGCCTGGACGCCCAGCACGTCTGCCCGGCCCCCTCCGCGATGTCCAAGGCCGAGGAGGCCAAGAGGCTGGCGGGTCGCGCCGCGGTGGAGAACCACGTCAGGGTGAGCAGGTCGGGGCGTCTGTCAGGGACGCGTTGCGCTCGTGCCGGGCGCTCGTGGGTGCCGGCGGGCATGGCGGGGAGCGCGCGAGGCGGGAGGGAGGGTGTGCCCCTCAGCCGAGCGTGGAAGCGTTTTCCCTGTCGCTTCAAGGCCTCTGGGCTGTGGAATTGCTTAGGGTAGAGTGCTATGCACATTGAGCTTTCTAGAAACGCCTCGTCCAGCTAGCTGGAGCCGTTTCCGGAGACTCCTAGTCCCGGCGGAGCCGTTTGTCAAGTGCAGCCCAGCGCTGTCGGGTGTGGGGGAGTGGGTGAACTTGGAGGAACTTGACCGCCAGGCTTCCTGAACAGCTCTCGGGGCTGCCTCTGCTTCTTCCCTTCTTCCCTTCTCACTGTCACGGGAAGCTCGATTCTCCAAGTCGGTGTCTGCGGGCCCCCGGAGTCTGCTTTTTTGGAGGGAAAGGGAGACGTGAGCCCGGGGGCGGGAACCAGGAGCTTTGAAACCTGTGCGCTTTGATAGGGCAGGTTCTCCCTTTGATAGGGCAGGTGCACCCGCTGGGGAGCTGGGGAGCTGCTGTCTTTAAGGTAGGGTTGCCAAGGTGTTTACGGGTTCACGTAGGTCGTGGCCCCACTTGTGTGCGAAGTGGTGGGTGTGGCGCTGTCACTCCTTTTAACTCCCTAGTGTGCCGGGACCCCCCCCCCCCCAGGTTAATGATCTTAATTATAGTGCTTTGTCTGTAGTCAAAAGGAGTATTTCTGTCCTGTGGTGGAGTTTGTTTGGCCTTGTTGGCGTTCTCTGTTCTGTTTCTTAGAGATATCAGGTACCCTGTCTCTCTGTTTCTGTGTTTGTCTCTCTCTTTTGAAGGTTTTATTTTATTTGAAAGAATGAGTGAGAGAGAAAGAGAAAGCTTCCACGTGCTGGTTCGTGCTCCAAAAGGCAGCAACGGATGATGCTGAGCCAGGCTGAAGCCAGAAGCTGGAGCTGCTTCTGGGGGGTTGCCACAGGGATGCAGGGGTCCAAGCACTTGGACCATCTTCCACTGCTTTTCCAGGTGCATTAGCAGGAAGCTGGATTGGAGGTGGAGCAGCTGGGTCTCAGTGCAGGTGGTGGCTTAACTTGCTGTGCTACAATACTGGGCTCCGGAAACCCCTTATCTAAGTTGTCCTATTAATGTATTTACGCCAATTTTTGTTGACATATGTCTTCTGTTTCTTCCTTTTCTCTTTTCTTCTTTTTACCCCCCTTTCTTTTCAAATCTTTTTATTTATTTGAAAGAGCTTTATGTAGAGACACAGCTCCATTCATTGGTTCACTCGTCAGCTGGCTGCAGTGGCTCACAGCAGTAAGCAGGACTTGCTTCTGGGTTTCCTGCATGGAAGATCGGACCCCAAGCACCTGGGCCATCCTTCACTGCTTTTCCTGGGCCATTTGTAGGTGTAGCCAGGGCACAAACTGGCACCCATATGAGATGCTGGCAGCTTTACCCACTAAGCTGCAGGGCCACTGCCCTTCCCCCCACAAGTTTTGTTTATAGTTGAGTGTTGAATAACAGTCTGCAAGTCCTCAATACAGACTTGAGCCCCCAAGATTCAGGCCACATCCTTCCACCACGTTACCAGGTGGTCCCGAGGAGCCCTCTGTTGGCCTTCTGAGAGCACTTGTTAAAATCATGTGGCCTTCAGGGTTTGGTTCAGAGTCCCTTGCCTCCTTTCAGGGCTCTGATGATCTGTGTTCCTCTCTCCCTTCCTCCTCTTCGCTGATAAGCTCTTAGCTGGTAGTTGCTCTTATCTTCATTCAAGGCTGGTCCTGATGGGGCCTATCTGTAAATGTTTATAGACGTGTGTACTGTGGACACAGATATGGACCTTTTAAGCCATTGGTGGCCTTGTGGTTAGAATCTTCTGGGTGAAGGGTTTCCAGTCTCCTTGTGCGTTGGTGTTCCAAGGCTGTTTCCACATCTGGGTAGGCGGAGACGTTTAACTGAGAACTCTGGGTATAAGAGTTCTCAGTTAAACCCTCAGTAGAGCCAGCCCAGGTCTGCCTGTTGCTGGAGGCAGAACTGGCAGGGTGGGTTAACCTGCAGGGTGTGCACTCCTGCAGGCTGGCCCTCATCCCTTCTCTCTCCTTGGAGCCCAGGCTTTGTTTTTTGACTGGCTTAGCTTGAGGAAGTTGGCGGACAGTAGTTCCAAATGATGAGCGGAAGTTCAGGGTTCCTCTGCTGGGTAGGTGAGTGTTGTTCTGATGGTGGCTATGCGACATGTGGTTTAGCATTGCCCCTTAGAGCAGCTCTCTGCTTTGTGGCCACTTTGCAGGAAGCCTTTGGCCACCTCTGATTTGCCTTGGCTAAGGCACTGGTTCCTGGGCTAGTCATTTGATTCCAGGGTATCAGGGTCACATGGTGGAAGAGCTTGGAGTCTGGCAGGTCCTGGTAATTCCTCCTCCAGCTTCTGGAGGAGGAGCCCTGCTTGGAGCTTATCTGATTCACCCCAGTTCATCTTTGTGTCACCTGCCTGTTGGGCCCCTGTGAGTGACATGGGTGTCCGGCTGAACTTGATCTTGAGGAATCTGGCATTTGAATTGCAGCATAGCTGGAGCTTGCTCTTAGCTTATCTTAGCTTCAAGTGTAAAGGTCAGGTTAAGGTTACCTAGGCATGGCTAAGTTAAGACATTTTCTCATGGCTTGCAGTCTTCTGTATGTTGATAGGTTTAGCCATGTTGAATGTTTTCGTTTTGTGATGTCTCATTTTGGAAGCCTTTAGGATTTGCCCAGGAAGCTAAGGGCTTTCACTGCCTTACCTTCTTTGAGGTGGGAGGTGCAGGTGGAGTTCTGACCTAAAGCAAGCTCTGCCACACTGGCCCAAGTCTCTTGGTGTTTTTGCTGACTGTGGAAAAGAGGTTTCAAAACTGTCAGGTTAAAAAAAAAAAAACCATAGAAATGGATGGATAAAGTCTTCCGTACATGAGAGACCCACCCACAAGCATCTTTAAGGTACAAGTATGTGTTTGTGGGGCCAGTGTGGTGGCTCAACTGACTAAGTCTCCGCCTGCCAGCACTGGCATCTCATATGGGTGTTGATTCTAGTCCTGGCTACTCTACTTCCCGTCAGGCTCCCTCGTTGGAACCCTGCACTCATGTGAGAGACTCAGAAGAAGCTCTTGGCTCCCGGCTTTGGATTAGCTCAGCTCTAGCTGTTGTGGCTACTTGGGGAGTGAACCAGTGTATGGAAGATTGTTCTGTCTCTCCTCTCTCTAAATCTGACTTTCAAAGAAACATAAATAGATATTTTGTTTTAAGTGTGGGTTGTGGCAAAATTAATCATTCAAATTTTTTTTTTTTGTAATTCTCTACCTGTTGCAAATTCTTTCTGATCTTTTCTGATAGTCGGATTTAGGAAAAGACCCACACTGGTGGGCCCCAGAGCTGAGTGAGTCTGGGTTCTCCTGTGGCTTTGTCCTGTGGGTTGTGGGGTTTTAACTATGACTCTGAGTTTGTGCTTAGGGACCTCCAAGACTTCTCTTCCTCCCACAAAGAAAGTTTCGCTTTCGGCTTTCCCCTGCCAAATGAATCATTAATGAATTCTTGGAGCTCTTAAGAACCTTGAAATATTTTAGCAAATTAAACTTCCTGAAGTTGTATATTCCAGGTGAGGTTTGTGTAGGGGGAGAGAATGGTTTTGTTGAAAGAGAATTTTTTTTTCCAGTTTGCAAAGCAGGATTTATTTTGGATAAAACAGGGAAAAGGGCGCCTGCCATGGTGGCAGGAGGGGGCTCCATGTGTCCAAAGGAAAAAACCCAGACCTCCTTCCATAGTGGCAGGAGGGAGGAAAAAGCCCGAGGCAATGGTGAAGATGGTATGCACCATCTCAGGAGAGTTACTCAAAGGACGAAATTGTTCACAGTGGCATCTGGTTTTGAGTCTGGCCTCCGAAGGGTGGGCCTGGCTGACTCCCTCTCAGGTACCATCTCCTTGACAGTGGCCCAGAGACGAGATTAGGTGGGTCACTTCTTGCTTTTGTTACAACTCTTTAGATAGTGAATTCCTATGTTAGTTCTGCCCCCTTTTCCTGCCTCTAGGGGAGAAGGTGTGCTCTTAGAAAGAACAAATGGAGGAGAAATATGCTTATATTAAAAAAAATAATTTCACAAGGGTCCAAAAATCCTAACTGCCTAGTATCCCGTCTGAGGCCTCACGCACTGGCGCATCCGTGGAGCCTGTGTAGTGAGGTAGTGAGTTAAACCACTGCTTTCTCACATGGACATCCCAGCTTCAGCTGTTCCACTTTCCCATCCAGCTTCTCTGTGAAGGCACCCGGGAAGGCAGTGATATTGTTGTGCCCAGATTTTGAGATTCCCAGGAATCACCAGGAATCTGAAGTCGATCCAAGTGCACAAGGATAGTTTACTCAAGCTCAGCACGTCTGAGCCTGGGTTCTTGGTGGAGAGTAGGCAGCTGGCTGACCCCTTACCACAGCACATCCATGGGGCTTTTATAGGGGCAATTGGCTGCAAGGTGAGGGGAAATACCACACATTCCCTGCCTATCTCACTGGACAGCCCATGCCTCCAGCAACTAAGATCAGCACCCACTTAATTACTTGGAACCACCTGTGAGATGACCAGACTTAGGTGGGCCTTGATTCGTAAGAATTGGGGCCCATCTGTGCTAAAGGTGACATAGGCTGCTAAAGGTCACATAGGCCGTTTGGCCTGCAAGCTCACACAGTTTCTTAGTAGCAATGGGCCATGAAGAAATGCTTGGGATTTTGATACTGAGGTTCTTCAGTACAGCCCAAGTTCTTGGGCCCCTGCACCCATGTGGGAGATCTGGAACAAGCTGCTGGCTTCTGGCTTTGGCCTGGCCCAGCCAAACCACGGATCTGCAGGAGCTAAACTTGCCAACTCATCAGCCATATCAGGACCCCCACAAAGCCCCCTACCACCGCTGTGCTGTGCCCATGGCACCAGGATGTTGGCCGGGGGCAGAGAGGAAGCCTGAGTACTCTGCCGCCCCCTGCTGGCACCTAGAGGCCATTTATTCCTGCTCGGTTCCACATCCATGGGTGACCAGCTGGGAACTGAGGAACTGGGGAGTTAACAGTTACTTCTAGTGACCTCTGACTCCTTTGGAATTGTCCCAGTTTAACTCTGTGTGAGCTTGAACTTCTGAGGAAGAGCCCATCTCTGATAGTGGTGGATGTAGCCAAGGAAGCCCCACTCTGACGCTGTGGGATGGCCTCTGCCTCCATGCTCAGGATCAGCATCTGCCTTTAGGGCAACTACAGCTTCCCCGGGGTCAGTTCCAGTCTGGACCCCCATTGAAGACACCTGGGGCTGAGGCCCCACTTTAAGGCCATGGCACCACGTGACTTGTGGGTCAGCTGGAGCCTGGGATCCTCACCAGCCAAAGCTTGTGTAAGTCGCTGTGAGTGGCTGTGCAGCACAAGTTGAGGCAGAAGGTGCAGTCACATAGGTTATGGCCTCGGCTGCCAAGTCACCTCCATTCTGAGAATTCAGCAAGGGTACAGACATCGGGCGGAGGGCCCAGCCACAGGGGGCGTGGACAGGACAGGTGAGCGGCGCATCTGGAGTTTTCCAAGCACTGGACCAAGCTTGGGCTTTGTCAAGGCCAGAGCTTTCTGCTGCACGCCTGCAGCCATCTTCCACTCTGTGTCTCATCGAGAATTTGTCTTTAAAAGGTAAAATCACTGGAGCAGGGCCCATAGCTCAGCAGACTGATCCTCCCTTTGTACCCCTGGTACCCCATATGGGTACTGGCTTGTGTCTCAGCTGCTCCAGTTCCCATCCAGCTCCCTGCTTGTGGCTTGGGAAAGCAGTAGAGGACAGCCCAAAGCCTTGGGACCCTGCACCTGCGTGGGAGCTGGCTCCTGGCTTTGAATTGGTACAACACTGGCCATTTATGGTCACTTGGGGAGTGAATGACCAGACAGAAGATCTTTGTCTCTGTCTCTCCTCCTCTATGTGTCTGACTTTCTAATAAAAATAAATAAATCTTAAAAAAAGTTTTCACCTCTTAGTACTGTTTAACAGCAATTAAATATTAACATAACTTCATAGGCAGTCACTATTAGCATGAATTTACAAGCTCTGTCTCCAGGACCATAATTAATTGCATTTCACAGTTAATTTACATTTTTGTGGAGAACAATTCTGGGCTTTGTTAGCAGTTTTCTAGAAGTTACAGTCTGTCTCAAAGGAGCTGTCGAATAGCTGGTCACAGACAAAGCTGTCCTTATGGGGTTAGGTCATCTAAGCAGGTTCTAACATTCCACTGAAAGGGAATCCAGTAATGTCCTTTGTTCATTTAAAAGTCTTAAAAATTTTTCTCATGGGTGTTGAATTAATCTCAAAAGTGTGGGGAAAAAAAATCAATCTGATTAGGATTGTTGTGAAGTTTGACTTGACTGTAACAGTTGTTTCTGATGTATGCTTAATAAGTAATAGCTATTACTTCAGGGTTTGGTTGTTTTAGCTTGAACTTGTAAGAAACCGATCCCAGGACATGGAGCTGAGAACGCCGTTAGTCCTTGATTGTTAGTAGTCGCTGGTGTTGGTTTGCTATTTGTGGTCTGACTGAGTGCCCATAGGCCCGTCCCTTTTCTTATGATAGGATCGGTGTGTGACACTTGTTTCTTGTCCTTTGTACCCAGGAAGGCTTCTCCATGTGTTGGAAGCCCTTCCTGTAAGAGGCGAAAAATGTTCCCATGGTCCTGCCTGAGCCTCTGTCTCCATCCTGTTGTCAGAGGCAGGCTCCAGCGGGGGGGCGCCTGGTGTCCACCGGACAGACAGGTGTTGAGGCTCGGCAGCTTTCCCCTCTTCTGACTGTGGGCCTGGGGTGGCCCTGAGGCTTCCTGGGGTGATGCCAATTTGAAGGTGCCTGTGATTAATCCTCTGCCTGCCTTTTAAGTTAGGCTGGTGTGAACAGGCACGGAAGCTTTCTGCCCTGGCACTGTTCTTTTTTCCCTTGGGTCTTCTCTAGGCCTTCCCCTCTGAATACCTGATCTCCCTGGGGTTGGCCAGGAATTCTTCTGTGTTTATATGCAGGCCTTTCTGCCAGGCTGCCTGCCTTAAGTTGCCATAAAGGATAAGAAATGGGCTTAATCTGTCAGGTAGAATGTAGGGAGGAAGTGATGATATTTGGTGTTAGAATGAAGGGAAGGGCTGGCATGGTGACATAGCAGGCTAATCTATAGCCTACAGTGTCAGAATCCAATGTGGGCACTGGCTTGTGGCCCAGTTGTTCCACTTCTTATCTAGCTTCCTGCTTATGGAGTGAGAAGGCAAGTGTAGGATGACCCAAGTCCTTGGGACCCTACACCCATGCTGAAGACCTGGAAGAAGCTCCTGGCTCCCACTTTCAGATCAGCTCAGCTCCAGCTGTTGCAGCCCATCTAGGGAGTGAACCAGCAGATGGAAGATCTTGTTTTCAGTAGAATCTGCCTTTCAACTAAAAGGTGATGGGAAAGGCGCTGTGATTAATTACACAGTGATCATAGGATGGAGTATAACGCTGAGATTGGTGATGTTTCTATCTTTTAGGGACTGTGCCTAACTTGCACCTGTATTGTGAATTGCTGTTTATAATTTTATACCTTTAGGAAGTGAACTGAAAACTGGGTATAAAGTATGACATTAACAAGCTTTGCTTTTTCTTCCCTTATTTTGGCAGAATAACCAAGTGTTGGGAATTGGAAGTGGCTCGACAATTGTGCACGCTGTACAGCGAATAGGTATGTCCTGACCGCCCTCTGGGGGCCTTGTGTGTGGCGATGAGGATACAGTAGAGGAATTGGGGCACTGCTTTTGCACTTGACCAGCGTGGCTGTAGTGCTGCAAGAGCTGGCTGGTGGGGAGACCACCTGTCTGAGATCCATACCATATGTCTGCCTGTCTCTGAAGGGAAGGATTCTTGCACCCCCTCTGTCAGCTCTGAGAGATGTCCTAGCTTTGCTCAACTGGAGGGGAAACCCTAAGTTAGCAGAAGGTCCCAGGGGAACCTGTGCGGTCTCTGGCTGCCTCTGCAGCCTGTGAGTTCTTCAGGCAAACAAATGGAGGCCAAAGTGGATTTTCCCCACGCATAACCATGGAGTGGACACAGGGCTGCTGCAGTTGGTGGCTGGTGCCTGAAGGTACTCACTGACGTGGGTTGTCTCTGTGCTTAGGAAAGACTCAGCAGGGATCAGGCCCGGTGGCTGTTCAACAGGTTTTACTGCTCTGCTTTTTATTCCTGGTAAAGAAGCCCAGAAGAGAAACTTGTTGAATACTGATCTCTCTCGCTTGCCAAGGGGCAGTGCCCAGAAGGCCAGGTCCAGAGACACTTTGTCGTTAAGGAGACATGCACGTGATGGCTTCTGGAAGCCTCTGATTGGTCAGACACGAGCCATGTGTTGTGTACTTTTCTACTTAGGCCAAGTATGTGAAGAATTTTAGGACCGGAAGTGCTGTGGTTTTATAATACTGGCACCTAAACCTTCCAGGATGCAGACTCTGATTAGAAAGAAAGACTTGGATTTTTAATGAGTTTTCCTTAAGCTGCTTTCTTTTCTTTTTTTTTTTTTTTTTGGCTAAACCATGCTTTACTAAAAGGTACATTTTCAATTATGAATAAACTACTTTTAACCATCCTCTGGGGCCTAGAGATGCAGAGATAAACTCCTAGGAAAGGCAGTGGAGGATAGCAGTGGAGACCTGGGCTGCGCGGGGTCACAGCCCAGCCCTGCCGCTTCCGTCCCTGTGGGTAGCAAGTTGCTCTACCCTCTGTTCCTCAGTGTCCCTGTCTGCGGAGTGGAGATAGTAACTGAATGGTTGTAATTCCCCTTCTGGGTTGTTAGGACTAAAAGAGGTCATGTGTGGAAAATTCTTAGGGTATTGGCAGGCGCAGATGATGATGAACACACCTGTGAGTGCTCCCCTCGTGAGCTCTCTCGTGTTCCTATCTTCTGATGTGTGAAGTGTGGCTACTGCTTTTTGCCAAGGTCAAGGGCGCAGAGTGTGGGAGACAGAGCTTGTCCTGTCTGCTGGGTTTGAGCAGGTATACCAGTGACAAGAAGAGAAGTGAGGAGACTGAATCATCTCCGATGCACTTTTGTCTCCGCAGCTGAAAGAGTGAAACAGGAGAACCTGAGCCTTGTCTGTATTCCCACTTCCTTCCAGGTATGTCGTTGCTTCCTTTCTGTCCTGCTAAGTCCTCCGTCTCTGACGGGGCGGGCATTGGCTTGTGTGGCTTGTCAGGGCGGCTCTAGGCCGGAGTCGGAGCACCGAGAGGTGTATGTTCACTCCTGCATTTTTCAGGGCATCTTGAGGTCCAGTACTGTGAAACGGATGGATGGGACCCTGTGGTCTGTGTCCTCAGGGATTATCAACCACATGTACAAGTGAGAAAGGAAAGACAGTGAAAGGAATTGATTGATTATCATACAAATACAGTGTTTTGGTTTCATATCTATTGCACTTTCATCATCAAATGGTAGGAGCTGATGGAGCCAGATAATTACAGGGGAAGGTACAGAAAGCGTAGACTTTGGGAAGTATAAGGGGGAAGAAGTGCTGAGCTGGAGCCATCTCTTGTCCTGCTGGCCACTGTAGGGAGGGCCATGTGTACCATCGCGTTGGATTAATCGAGGTGAAATGATGGGCTAGAGAAGTAGATTGGGTTTACAGGTGGTTCGTGCTGAGACTCAATGAACTTAGTTTTGAACAACCCAGTCTTTTTTTCTTTTCTAGGAAATCCTGAAGCCAATAGTGGTGGAAGGTGGGTGTGGGTTACTCTTCTGAGCCATATAGGAGCCGTGTGGGAACCATGTGGGAGATAGAGGCAAAGTGGACCCTGGAGGCGGACATCCGAGGTAGACAGGCTAAGCTATGGAATTAGGATAATGCATGCCACTGAGCTCAGAGTAGGTCACTCTAAAGGGGTCGGGGGTGAGGGCATCTTTCTTTTCAAGTTCTCTGGTTCTTCAGTCCATGTGTATGTCCCATGTGTATGTCACAGTACAGGTAAACCAGGTGGTGTGCTGATAACTCTTCCTTGCCTCTCCAGTGTTGTATTTTCTCTAAAGTTAAGTAAATCTTGCCTTCTTGTTTAGCTCAGCTTAGTTTTTCTTCTCTCTCCTGCTTCCTCTATTTCTTGTATTCCATTCACTAATTCATCACCAAAGCCTTGCTGCAGTGGGAAGGTCTGTTTTTCTGACACAGCCCTGTCCCATTCCCTCAGTGTCATCACTTGGTGGCATCTAGTTGGGTGGGTGATGCTTCAGGCTGCTGTGCTGTTGCCCTTGAGTTCCCCATCACAGTCAGGCATCTTTTTGTTATTGTTAAATGTTTATTTATTTGAAAGGCAACATTACAGAGAGAGAAAGAGCAAAAGAGAGTTCTTCTACCTGCTGGTTCATTCCCCAGATGATCACACAGCTAGGGCTAGGCCTGGCTGAAACTGGGGTCTCCCCAGTGGTTGCTGAGGGCTCAGACACTCGAGCCATCTTCTGCTGCTTTCCAGGCCATTATAGGGAATGGGGTATCAAGGGGAGCAGTCAGGACTCAAGCCTGTACCCATAGAGGAGGACTTCATTGCAGGTAGCAGCTTAATCCACCATGCCACAATGCTGCCTCTAGGAAATTTCCTTTTTTTTTTTTTAACTATTTAACTTTTTTGGATCCAGTGCAATAGCCTATTGGCTAAAGTCTTCACCTTGTATGTATTGGGATCCCATATGGGTACCAGTTTCTATTCCAGCTGCTCTACTTCCCATCTAGCTCCCTGCTTGTGGCCTGGGAAAGCAGTCAGGAACAACCCAAAGCCTTGGGACCTTGCACCCATGTGGCCAGAAGAAGCTACTGGCTCCTGGCTTTGGATTAGCTCAACTTCTGGCTGTTATGGCCACTTGGGGAGTGGATCAGTGGATGGAAGGTCTTTTTCTCTTTCCTTTTCTCTGTAAATCTGGTTTCCAATAAAAAGAAATAAATCTTTAAAAAAGAAAATGATTTATTTATTTTGGCAGGCAGATTTACAGAGAGAACGAGAGAGAGAGAGAGAGAGAGAGAGAGATCTTCAGTCTGCTGGTTCATTCCCTAAATGGACACATAGCCAGAGCTGAGCTGATCTGAAGCCACTGGGTGCAGGGTCCCAAGGACTTGAGCCATTCTCTCTTGCTTTCCCAGGCTACAAGCAGGGAGCTGGATTGGAAGTGGACTAGCCTGGACACAAACTAATGCCCACATGGGATGCTGGTGCTGCAGGTAGAGGACAGTCCCCATTCTGCAACTGTGTAAACAAGCTGGGACTTTTCTGCAGGCTGCCCCTTTATCCACTATGCCACAATGCTGTTATCTCCCCTTCTGCCCCCTGAATTTTTTCTTATTTCTGCCATTTTGTCCATCTGTGATCCAGCTTTCAACAGTGTGTTACTGTTTTCTCCTCTGTGAGGTTTATAGTTTAAAAAAAATTCCCTGTGGTGCTGTGCTGGCATCCCGTATGTGCCTGGTTTGAGTACTGGCTACAGCAGTTTGAATCCAGCTTCCTGCCAATGTGCTCAAGAAAGCAGAGGAAGATGGCCAAGTGCTTGGGCCGCTGCATCCATGTGGGAGACCCAGAGGAGGCTTCTGGCTTTGCCTGCCCTGGCCTCAGCTGTTTGCAACCATTTGGGGAATGAGCCAGTTTACAGATAGAAGAACCTTCTCTAAATCTTTCAGATAAATAAAATCTCTTTAACAAAATAGGTTTGAGAAAGAGCTGAGTTAAGTATAGATGTTTAGGTTGCTGTTTTTAACTGGAAGTCTGATCTTGTGCTTGTGTTATGTTCTCCTAACCTGTGTTATTGTGATAATTGATAATGACACACTGAGACTGGAAATACTGGCCAGTTATAGCTAATAGATTGGAACAGTCATTTAGACTTGAGAGCTTTTTTGCAAAGGAAGTTAGAGAAAGAGAAGTGCTGTATCTGCTGGTTCACTCCCAGAAATGGCTGCAGCAGCTGGGCTGGGCCAGGCCCCAGTGCCTGGACGGGATGCTGGCACTACAGGCAGAGGCTTAGCCTCCGGCGTGGCGCTGGCCCCGGTGTCTCAGGCTTGGGACTGTGGCTTAGGCGGCTGGCCTTGATCATTTCATTTATCCAATCTTTCCAGAAATGACAGTGCTTGCCGAGAGCTATGTGGCTGATTTATTTAACATTAGAATCTAGACCTTCTGAGGAGGAATTTTGAAGGGGTGCCTTTGAAAGAGATTTCCTGGCCTTTGTGTCTCTGTGTTGTAGGCGGTGATGTGGATACAGAGCCTCATCACTTGGCATCGTGTGGTCAGGTGTGCCGCCTGACTTGAGCTATCTATAGCCATAACCACCGTTTTCCCTTTTGGCCACCCAGGAGGCATGTCTCAAGTAAATGGCACTTTTTCCCTGAGTAGTCTTAGTCCTTCTTAGTCTGGGGCTCTAAATTTGCTGAATTCCTCAGCTATTCTGGAAGTCTTTATATACTCTTCTGGGTGCATAGATTCTTTATATTTTTCCTTAATCAGATAGTCCAGCAATCACTGCATCACTGCATCAATTTATAGCAATCTTCAGTCTGTTTTCATACTGTTGGATTATTTTAAAAACTTTCCTAGTATTTTGTATTTTATTGGAATTTTTCATCTACATGCATATTGCCAGAAGGTTTAGGAGGCGATAGCATTTAATTTTTTTAGATTTATTTATTGATTTAAGAGGCAGAGCTCTAGAAGAGGGAGAGCCAGCTTCCAATTGTTGGTTTACTTCCTGAATGGCTGCACTGCTGTAGCTGGGCCAGGAAGCAGCTGTACCCAGGTCTCATGTGAGTGGCAGGAGCCCAGGTGTGGGGACCATTTTCCGCTGCTCTCTCAGGTGCATTAACAGGGAGCTGCATTGGAAGTGGAGCAGCGGGCTGTCTTACTGATGTCCATGTTGCCCCGAGCAGTGACTGCCTGCTGGGCCACAGCAGCAGCAGCCCTGAACCAGCAGTTTCATCATGGGACTAACTCTCTTACCTCTTAGTGGGCCAGATCAGAACTCAGTGTTTGCTTATATCCAGAAATTCGGAGAATCCTTGCCATGTGCTGACAGCTCGTGATTGTGGGTGTTTTCTCCTGTTCTCCGCAGGCCCGGCAGCTCATCCTGCAATATGGCTTGACCCTCAGTGACCTGGATCGGCACCCAGAGGTGAGAGCCAGCACGCTGCTGTGGCTTTCTCTGTTTTCATGGCTGTCCCTTGTGCCTGGTTCAGTTCATCTTGTTAGTCTGGGGAAGAATTTAGTGGGTTGTACCAACTTCTGTCCTGAAATTGAGTATTAATCCTGCCAGAGATGCCAAGTGGGGAGGTGATAAGTTTCTAGTACATTCCACGTGGTTTAGCTCTAAGGGCTCAGGATGAGCGCAGTAGAGAGGAACTGGACAGGGCTGGCCTGGCTGAAATCGGCTTTCTAGGCTCCTTTACCAGAGGTACAAGAACAAGCCAGCCTGGAGTTTAACACTGAAGTGGAGATAAGCAGGTAAGAAGTAACCATCTGAGGCAGCCACGGACAGCTGAAAACAGATTAAAGTTAAGTTTTGTGGTAAGGACTGTTGAACACAGGGCAGGCCAGAGGAGGCAGAAATTGACAAGGGTTGGCAGTGTCACGCATCACCCCAACTAGCACTGTCTGAGATAGTTACTCTATACCAGGTATTGTACTAGGTACTGTACCTGCTTTAAGCTACTTAATCTTCAGGAATCTTGATGGTGGGTGCCATAATGATTTCATTTCACAGATGTGGAAAAGACAGGGAGAGGATTAGTCATTTGCCTAAGGTCATGATTTGTTTTTAAGATTTATTTAAAAATTTTTATTGGAAAGTCAGATATTCAGAGAGAAGGAAAGACAGATATTCTGTTCATTGGTTCACTCTCCAAGTGACTGCAACAGCTGGAGCTGAGCTGTTCCAAAGCCAGGAGCCCAGAGTCTCTTCAGGGTCTCCCACACTTTGGGCCGTCCTTGACTGCTTCCCCAGGTCACAAGCAGGGAGCTGGACAGGAAGTGGGACTGCGGGGATTAGAACCAACACCCATATGGGATCCCAGCAAATGCAAGGTGAGGACTTTAGCTACCACGCCATGCCCTGCTGCTTCCTTTTAATTAAGAAACTTATTTATTTGAAAGGCAGAGCAACAGAGAGACAGCATGAATGAGTTTCAGCATCAGCTGGTTCACTCCCCAGATGGCAAGTGTGAGCCAAGCCAAGAACAGGAGCCAGGAATTCCATCGCAGTTTCCCACATGGGAAGCAAGGCAGTGATCCAAGTACTTGGGCCGTCCTTTGCTGCCTTCCTAGTTGACCCCAGCTTCTTGGCTGGCTGAGTGTTAGCAACCAGGGCTGCTGAGGGTTTCGTGGGGCACTGCGTGGCAGGGTTAGCACAGAGGCTCCTCCGAGGCTCTCACGGTTTTCTTGTCTCTCTCGTGCCTCCGCACAGATTGACCTTGCCATCGATGGTGCGGATGAAGTGGATGCTGATCTCAACCTCATCAAGGGGGGTGGGTGAGTATCGTGGCGACTTTCTTACTAAAGGGCGTGTACCCCTTAGTCCTTGCCAGTGCAAAATACAAGATAAACAAATTACCGCCGTGGTGGGTGGGAGGCTGCTTTCCATCAGGATGTCGATGGCGAATGTCCTGAGAGCTGGAATGGCATGTCTGGTCATTAGCAGTGGTCTGGTGGCTGCAAACCTGGGCCTGTTCAGTGAGATGAATCATCTTAATGGTTTCTCTGTGCGTCTGTGTCTATCCTCTCAGACTTTTATAAACAGCGTGTTACTGGGCTGGATTGGGGTCACTGTGTGGCCTTGGCTTTGAAGGTCCTCTAGCCTTTGGGCAGTTGGGGAATCTGTTCATTTATTTAGAAAATATTGCTAGTTCTGAAGTGATACCCTTGGTACATTGAAAAAGCTCAAGTCCTGGTTCTTACAATCCAGCAATAATTGGTGCAGACTTCCCTGTATTGTCTCTAAGATTTTTTATGTTTGTTGGTCCTTCTGATGGCAGACTAGAGGTAGTTTAGCTGGTCAGCAGTGGTGGCACCCAGGACTTGTTCCGTTTCCTCGTCCTGACTGTCAATCAGGTGAAATCTGCTAGATTGAGTGGATTTGGGGTTCCTGTATCTGATACAGTTCTTAGGTTCTTATTGCTGTACTTCTTTTTCCTTCCCCAGAGGCTGCCTGACCCAGGAGAAGATCGTGGCAGGCTATGCCAGTCACTTCATCGTGATTGCTGATTTCAGGTACGGTGTCCAGTGTTTTGAACTGCCCCCTGGGAAGGCAGAACACACCCCCTTTTATGGGGGAAGTTGGAGAGAAGTGAGGGATTCTTTGACGTTCTGAGGCTGGTATTTAGGACCAAGGATGTAGGCTCCACGTCCGTGCTGTGATGTCACTGACTGGTCACAGCGCTCCTGGGCTGAGCCATGATCGCCAGCACTGTTTCCCGTGTCCATCAGAGGGGAAGGAAACAGCCTGTCGCCCTGTTAGCAGGATGTGTCCTCACGTGGCACTCACCAGCTCATCCCAGGGAGCCTCAGGGCAGCAGGGCACACTCTGCCCACAGGCAGTGACTCAGACTGCCCTTTCTCCTCCAGGGTGTGCCACACGTGATCTGTGTTGCAGGCTGTCTTTAGGCAGGCTCCTAGAGTCTCCTGTGAGGAGTCTGGGAGAAGGCAGTTGTGTGTCTGTGTGTAAATGCATGTATGTGTGTGTGCATGCAAATATGTATATATGGGACAGGATTAGTAAATTTTATAGTGACCATACAAAGAACTTGAATAATGAAGACGTGCTTGTCCACCAGCCAGCTATGTCGGATTCTAACATTTTCATCACCTGTAACACTGCAGCCTGTGCATGTGAGGGCCTGTGTATATTGGCCCCGCCACTTTCCTCATCCTCCCATCGGCTCACTAGCCCTGTTCGTGCATTTGGTGTTTGAACCACTAAGCTTGTTTACTTTCATGCTGCTTCTTGACTCTCGGCAGGAAAGACTCAAAGAATCTTGGGGATCAGTGGCAAAAGGGAATCCCCATCGAGGTCATCCCCATGGCCTACGTCCCAGTGAGCCGAGCAGTGACCCGGAAGTTTGGGGGCGAGGTTCAACTTCGAATGGCCGTCCACAAGGCAGTAAGTGGCCAACGAGGTTCCGGAGGGCGCTCCAGTCCCAGTGTTGCCTTCCTCTCCGCTCCAGTTAGGTCCTCTGTGCCTAGAGCAGGCGGCTGGCTTTCTGCTTACTTCAACCCAGTTAATGTGTTTATTTTTAGGGAGTTGACTTTATGTATTTCTGTATGTAATCACAAATAGATAATAGATAATCACATACCCGATATGGTGTACTCTCCTGTATTAAATGGGAACATGAGTGTTTCTATCCCTTGGGATCTTATATTGATTTATTTAGACTGGCAGAGTAATGTGAGGTAGGGAGACAAGATCTCCATCCACTGGTTCATTCCTCAAACGATCGCCCCAATGCAGCTGGTCTAGCCCAAAGCCAGCAGCCTGGAAGTCCATCTCTGGTTTTCCCATGTGGATGTTGGGGGCTCAAGAAGGTGGGCCATCCTTTACCGCTTGCCCAGACACATTAGCAGGGAGCTGGATTGGAAGCAGAGCAGCTGGGGCTTGAACCAGCACTTGTGTGTGGGATGCTGGCATTACAAGGCTTGCCCAGCTGAGTCACAGCACTGACCTTATGCATGGTTTTTCCTCCTCTTTCTCTCATTCTGTGCATAAGTGTGACAAGATATGGAATTTTTGGAGGAGCACATGGACTACTCCTTAGGAGTTTGCTCCAGACACTTTCATCCAAATATTTGTCTTTGGTTTCTAAAGTGGGCCAATTGCCAAAAAAGCTTTTTTTCTTACATATAAACAAGCCAAAGAAATAATTCAACCTAACTATAGTTATATTCTCTGCATTATATATTATATTTATAATATATATAATATATAATATAATATATATTATATTTATAATATATCTGCAATAGTATATTTATTTATTTTTTTAAGATTTATTTTATTTTTATGGGAAAAGTGGATATACAGAGAGGAAGAGAGACAGAGAGGAAGATCTTCCATCCGATGATTCACTCCCCAAGTGAGTGCAACAGCCGATGCTATGCTAATCCAAAGCCAGGAGCCTCTTCCGGGTCTCCCGTGTAGGTGCAGGGTCCCAAAGCTTGGGCCGTCCTCGACTGCTTTCCCAGGCCACAAGCCAGGGAGCTGGATGGGAAGCGGGGCTGCTGGGATTAGAACCAGCGCCCATATGGGATCCCGGGCGTGCAAGGCGAGAACCTTAACCACTGCGCCATTGCGCCGGGCCCCATAGTATATTTATTAAAGAAAATGTTTACAGACTATGAAGACAGAAAGGTGGTCTGTGACCCTGGTACCTTCGTAGCTTAGTGTGTTTGCTTCTCTGTGCTTTTGTGATTTGAGAGTGGTCCTAGCCGAGGGGGGCTACACAGGCTCGATGGGTGTTTGTGGCCTTTTCATAGCAGAAGGGCCAGGGGCAGGTGGTGGGGTTGCCTCTTGTAGATGGGTTACTCCAGGCAAGAGCTGCAGCTCCCTGCCTTCATGGAGTTCTCCCTCTCTCTCTGTAAAGTTAACTGATTTGAAAGGCAAAGAGACTAGAGTTTTCTAGTCTACTGGATTACTCCCCAAGTGCGCACAATAGCTAGGGATGGGCCGGACTGAAGCCAGGAGCCAGGAACTCAGTCTGAATCTCAGATACCTGGGTTCCTGGGCACCCAAGGACTGGGGCCTTTACTTCTAGTGCCTTCCCTGGGTGTGCGTTAATAAGAATCTCCAACAGGGCAGAATTGGAACCTGAATCCAGGTGCCCTGCTGTGGGATTTGGGTGTCCCAAGCAGTGTCCTAACCACCACCACTGCCCTGAGTTCCTGCTGGTCTGCAGGGAATTCTCTAGAATCCTCATCTTTGTGTTGTCTGTCAGCGTTTGTCTTCTTGCATTCTGCCTCTGCTGTTCCAGTATGCAGAGGTACTGAGGAACTTGAGATCAGTGAACTGAACCTGCCCCCGCCTGTCTGAGCTCAGAGCTGCTGCTCCTGCCGTGTAATGTCAGCGATCTGTTCTGTGGTAATTTTTCAGCATAATAGCAGCCAAGGGTTGTTGAGCCCTTGGTCATCCCAGGCAATGTTTATGTATTTGCCCTGATGACGTATCATGTATTCGAGTCTTGTAGTACAGAAGCTTTGACGCTCACAGGAGTTAATGGCTCCTCTCCAGTTTTTACCTGTGTGGCATTAAAACGCACACCCCGAGTCCCACTCACGCCAAAGCTCCTGCTCAGTACTCCTTCCCAGCATGCCTTCCAGAAGGTGTAAGGTGCAAGTGCCAGCCAGAGTGGGTTAACTAAGATTCTTGCCTTTGGTTATCATTTCTGTTTTTTTGTATTTCTTCCTGTCTGTATTTATATCTTTTGTCAATGTGGAAAATTATCTTTTAGGGTCCTGTGGTGACGGATAATGGGAATTTTATCCTGGACTGGAAGTTTGACCGAGTCCATCAATGGAGTGAAGTGAACAAGGCCATCAAAATGATCCCAGGTAGCGTGAGTAGCATCTCCTGGGCGTGTGGTCCCGTGCCCTTCACCTGTCCGTTGAGCCTGGCTGCGGGAGACGTAGGGGACACGGGCTTTGAACAACTTGGTTGGAAGGAAGAACTCGACTTTCTTCTTACTGTATTCGGGGTTTCTGGCTTGGCTTCCTGCATCTTTGCTCCCCGGGAATCATTGGTGCCTACGCAGCATCTTTGGGAGGAAGCAGTGGATCTCTGCTCCCAGATGAGATAGAATGGGCTGAATTCTGCGAGGGGGATTCTGGGAGTCTGTAGTACAGAGTTGCTTCTTTCGGAGAGGGTGAGGGAGTTCCAAGATGTCGAGGTTTCTGGAATAGATTTAGGCCTGTGTCTGGACAGTGCTGAGTGCCTGAAACGATGTATGTGCACATTGATGAGGAAGCAGTGGAGGAAGACTCAGGCTGAGGAAGATTACTCAGTAACCAGGGTTGCAGCCCCAGGGCGGCAGTCCTGTGTTGGCTGCCATACCTTGAACTTTAATCCTCACATGGTGTCAAGATCTGGGCTTGGGAGAGGTAGTGTGACCATGTGTGGGCCATGGGAGAGCCCCCGATGCAGCTCGTGCCTGGGAGGGTGCAGGAGCAGCACGGGTGGCCGGGGGCAGCGCAGAGATGGGCCTCAGTGACTGTAATGGGAGTCCAATGCTCTCCTGGAGGGTTAAAGGGAGATGAGAAATGGGAGGTAGCAGTCTAGCCAGGAGCTTCCCATGTTATGGATTATTCTTGGGCCAGAACTGCCTACCTAACAAGACAGCCAAGGCCAACCCAGCACGAAAAGCCGAGCTGGTGGCTGAGAGTGGGGTCTGCAGCAGGCTGCTCACAGAAGGAGCCTGGCTGTTCATGCTGTGCCACCAGGCACAAGTTGTGTGCTTCACATTGTTCCTTGGTGAAAGGGGCTGATGCTTGAGCCTATCTCAGGGTTGTGGAGAGGATTGGTGTATTTATGGATGAATAATTTCCTGGAAAGGACACCATGCCTTCACTGTTTGCTAGATACGTGGGTTCTCAGTTATCCATGATAGCTGGGAATGGAAACGGTGTGTGACTGTGTGCCCTGAAATAAAGAATTGATTCTTCCAACTCTTATTTAGTCATCTCAACGTTCTATAATCTTTTATAAGATTTATGGAGACAGAGGTAGTTCAACTCATGAACTATATTCATCGTCTTGCCTAATGCTGCTTTCCTAATGGAAGAGTAAGGAGCCGTGACGATGGGAGGGAGAGAACACGTAGACGCTGCTCCTAGTGAAGTAGGGGAGCTGCCTGTGATGGTAATGCAGGCAGTCATAGGGGACTGGGTGGGAAATGGTGGCTCTGTGTCATGGTTCTCCTGTGAGGTAATTTCTTGCTGTGTCCACCAGGGGGCACCCATGCACCACTCTGACTTATTTTGGGTTGGTGAGGGGGATGAGCAGTCCCTTTGAGAGGGGACTTTTCCTTCTGTTTGCTTTGCATCTCAGCCTGGAGAAGCTGCATCCAGAGAAGCTCAGGGTTTTATTAGGAACCCAGAGTTAGGAAAACGAAACCAGAGGTTCCCTGTTAGGCAGATAATAGGGCAAGCAAGCCCAGCATGGCTTTGGGTTCTTCCCTCCCTGCTTCTTAGCATCCTGTGCCCTTCCACAGAATGCCCACTAGTCTGTGCTCGTTTGCCAGTCTGTCCTTCCTTCCTCTTTCTCTCTGTAAAGATTTATTTATTTCTTTGAAAGGCAGAGTTACAGAGGGGAAGATAGATACGGAGACCTTCCCTCTGCTGGTTTACTCCTCATAAGGCCGTGATGGCCGTAGCTGGGCTGTTCTGAAGCTGGAAGTCTTGAGCATCTTCCAGGTCTCCCACGTGGGTGCAGGGACCCAAGCCTTGGGCCGTCTTCTGCTGCCTTCTCAGGTGCATTAGCAGGGAGCTGGATGGGAAGTGGAGCAGTCAGGACACAAACTGGCATGCGTGTGGAGTGCTGGCACCGTGGGCAGCAGCTTTACGCACCCCACCACAGCACCACCTTCGCTGCTCGTTCTTTAAGGCCTGTCTGGACCGATCCGCCTTTCTTGGATCATGATGTTTGAGGAGGAGGGTCTTCTGGGGCCGCTCTGCTCGTCCCTGGGAGACCCTGGTTGGGGAGGCACAGTTTGGTATCAGAACTTCTGTGTTTTGTGGTGGCTTACTATTCTATTTTGTTTTGGAAATGATGTAGTTCATGTGAGTAAACCATGACAAGTCCCTTCCCCTATTGCCTAGCCAACTAGGAGGCAGCCATTGTTAGCAGAACATTCTATCGCCTTCTAAAAAATACTCTCTGCCTATCTATGTATGTATCTATCTACCTATCTATCTGTGTTTGTTTGTATTTTCATTTTATTTGAAGGAGAATGTAAGGGCTGGGGTAGGGGGAAGATAGACAGAAATCTCACATCTGCTGGTGGAAGATTTTTCTGCCCACATGCTCACGTGGCTGGGGCTGGGCTTGGTAATCTGGGGAGCTAAGAAGTTAATCGAATCTCCCATCATAAGTTGCCGGAGTCCAGTTCCAGCTGAGTTTGGAACTCGCGAAGGGTGCGTGGATGAGGCGCAAAGAAAGAGAGAAAGAAAGAGACGGACCACTAGTAACTCTTCATCATCATAATGGACCACGCACAAAAGCTGTCCGCTTTATTCATACAAAATCAGTCAAACTCTGGCTCAGACTTTTTACGTCATGGTCAAGTGGGTGTTTCCAAAGATAACTCTGCCATTTGTTTCACCTAAGGCTAGATTGCTATTCACCTGGCACCTGGCACCTGGCTAGGAAAAGGTTCTCAATATATGGTGCATATCAGTCACTAACACATTCCTACCACAATTACTTTACAGCTTGGTCTTGAGATAGTCAAGGAAGGAAGGGACCTAAAAGATCAAAGAAAGAGGGAAAGAATAGATTCCCACTACACCTGAAGACAGAATACCTTTGATTAGCATAGGATCAAAAGGGGAGTTAGCACCCTTGATTAGCATATTGCCACAGGATGCAGCCCTAACAGCAACAATAGCTCTTTGGCTAAAAACGGCACCAGCAACATTAGCTTCTAAGTTCCTATTGATATTTAACAGTAACTCCACAGAGGCAGGCAATGCATAAATAAATTACAGAAATCTCGATGGGGTTGTCCATGCAAAGCGAGGTGGAGCTGCATTCAGGTGTTGTAGAGACATCCGCCGGGCCTTGCCACACAGCGGGAAGTTCCTTGCGACCTTGCCTGCAAAGGAACTATACTCTTCACACCTTCCTGTCTTCCACACCCATCACACGGACCCCAGCAATAAGTGACCAGTTCTGGTGCTTGAGCTGTCACCTCTGCCGCCCGGCTCTGCGTTTGGACTAAGGCTTCCAACTCTGCGTGTGAAGGACTCTGTGTTAGAAGGGGCCAGGCCCCGCGGTGTGGCTGCTGCCTCGGGTGCTCTGCCGTGGCCCCTGCCCTGCTCCTTTTTTGCAAGTAACAATGTACTTGAATACGTGTCTGTTCTGGCTTTTTCTGGCTTGGAGATGATGACATACTGACTCACCAAAGAGCTTCCTTAATCTTTCCTTTTTTTCTGTAAGAAATAGCTGTATTATTCATTTAATGACAGTGTAGTTGAGCACCTCACTGGATGCCCACAGTGGACATTTCTGGTCAGTGCTTCGCTGGAAGGGAGTGCCTGGCTCTGAGGATAAGCAGGTGTCTCTGATTTCACTCGGTGCTGTTGGCTTCTGAGCGCTCTGCTTGTCATACACCGTCAGTGTGCGCAAGTGTCTGCTCCCCAGCTCGTAGTGTATGTGAATATATAATGGTTGGTAAAGGTCACACGGGGAGGTCCAGCTGTCCCTGGCATCCCTGGGCATTGGTTCCAGGCCTCCCTGTGGGTACCAGCATCAGAGGGTGTGCTAGTTCCTTACGTGACTCAGGGCACATTGCCTGTGCGTGTCTTCCTTGTATGTGAACTCATCATGGGTTACTTAGAATACCTGATGTGATTTAAATGCTGTGTAAGTCATTGTGCACCAGTGCTTAGGAAACAGCAACAGAGGGTTTGTGTGTGTTCATTATGAAGATGGTTTCACTTTTCCGGAATATCTCTGACCAGCGCTTGGGTGACTGAGTGTGAGATGCATGGAGCTCACTGCTGTCCGCGTGCATTGCTGAGTGTGTATGTGTGTTTTTTTTAAGATTTATTTTTATTGGAAAATCAGATATACAGAAAGGAGGAGAGACAGAAAGGAAGATCTTCCATCCTCAATGGCTGGAATTGAGCTGATCCGAAGCCAGGAGCCAGGAGCCTCATTCCAGGTCTCCCACATGGGTACAGGATCCCAAAGCCCGGGACCATGCTTGACTGCTTTCCCAGGCACCAGGCATATGGAGCTGGATGGGAAGCACGGCTGCCGGGATTAGAACCGGCACCCACATGGCATCCCAGTGTGTGCAAGGCAAAGACTTTTGTAGTTAGGCCACTGTGCCACCGCCCTGCCCCCCGCCCTTTTTCTTTTGAGATCTATGTGTTTGACAGAGAAATCTCTCCCGTCTGCTTGCTGTTTCATTCCCCAAATGCTTCCAGATGACCAAGGCTGGCCAGCAGCCAGGAACTTCATCTGGGCCTTCCATGTACTTGGGCTGTCTTTTGCTGCCCTCCCAGTCACATTAGCAGGGAGCTGGATTGGAAGTGGAACAGCTGGAACACAAACCAGTGCTTTGATGTGGGATGCTAGCAATGGCAAGTGGCAGTGTAACGCACTGTGCCACAGCGCCGGCCCCTGGATAGCTGCTTTTTTGAAATACCTTTTCAGATCTTTGGCTCATTTTTTCATTGGGTGTTGGCCTTTTTAAACGCTTTGTGGAGTTGTTCATGTATTTCAGTGTGGGTCCTTTGTCAAGTGTATGCTTTGCTGTCTCTTCCCGCTCTGTGAAGAATTCCTTCTAGGTCTGTAGTACTGTTGAAAATAGCTGGGAGTGTTCATGGACAGTCTGTCTAGAAATGGGCCTGTCCTGTGCTGTGTGGGAAACACGGAGAAGTCCTTCCCAGAAGCACTTGCAATTGACCCATTCTGGCAAAGGGAACGGCATCAGGCCGTGGCCTCATGGTGGGACAGAGCTTGGTCTATTGGGTACAGAGAGAAAGCCAGGACAGGAGAGGAGAAGGAGGCAGCCACGGCTGTGCCCGGTGCAGTGGCCTTCGGCGCCCCAGGATCTGCCGGCCCCCTTTCTTTGGGAGCTGGAACCTAATGCTGTTTTCCGTGCTTTGTCCCTCAGGCGTGGTGGACACGGGCCTGTTCATCAACATGGCCGAGCGAGTGTACTTCGGGATGCAGGACGGCTCTGTGAACGTGAGGGAGAAGCCCAGCTGTTGATGTGTCCACCTTGATCTCCAGCCCCAGCCAGGGGGATGTGGCTGTCCCGGAGCCTTTGCCTTAATGTGTCTGTGGGGGCGGGGGGGCGCTCAATCCAGTCTTCTGCAGTATTGTTATTAATGTCTTTTTAAACAGAAATTTAAAGATTATATATATATTTTTACTATTAAGATATTCAATTTTTTTTATAAAGTAGAACTTGATTTCAGGTTTTATATGAAACATATACCAAAAAAAGAAAAAATAAAAAGGGCAAGATGGGGAGATGATCTTTAAAATCTTCGACTTGAACCTGCTGAGTCGGCTTCTGAATATTGGGTTTGCTGAGGAAGGGAATGAGGCTTTCCTTGAAGCTGGTGAAGGCCGGCAGCGGCTCCCGATGCCTTAGGGAAGCCTGTCTCCTTTCCTGCCACTCTCTGTTGTATTTTCACTTTGTTTTCATCGGAATCACGCACAATTTAGTTACCTCTGATCGAGTTTACAAAAGTCTGCTGAACGGAGTGGTGTGACCTACAGCGCCTTGGAGTGTGACCTGTCAGGGGGCAAGTGTGGCACTTTTGCTAAGATCAGGGGCTTGTTCAGATCCTTGTTGGAAGAGGCAGTCGGCCGGAAGTACTTGCCAACGCTGCCAGAACACTTCTGTGAAATGTGAAATAGCTGTTTGTGTAATCATTTTCTTTCTGTTGTCATTGATTTGTTCTGTTCCTGTATTATGTGCATGGTTTGGCATCAGAAGTCATCACTTCTCTGCGTTGTTTGGAGGTTGGAATAAAGCAATGTGGTGCCATTTTGAGTCTGTGTCTTCTCTGTAGGATTGGAAGGAAAATGGGGATCAATTTTGCTCTCCTGGTTGACATATGAGAACGGGTGAGATACACCGAAGAAACCTGGAGCCAAAGAATGCTTGCTTTATTCCTGGGAGTGATGTTTGTACCATAGACCTGTAAAGTCAAGGCTGCTTTGGTTGTGGAAGCTGATAAGCAGTGAAATAGGGCACCTGAGGTTCCTGTATGGCTCCTGTCCTATGATGGCCCCTACGCTGTGATGGCCCCTGCCCTGTGATGGCCCCTGCCCTGTGATGGCCCTGCCCTGTGCTGGCCCCCGCCCTGTGCTGGCCCCTGCCCTGTGATGGCCTCTGCCCTGTGATGTCAGGCCATCTAGGAACTTCCCAGCAAACAGCTTCAGAAGGAGAGCCAAGGCCAGGACCAGCTCAGTGAATGTTCCCAGTGGGCTTCCAAGGACCAGCTCAGCATTCCCGAAGGGCTTCCGAGGAACCCGCTCTATTGTCACAGGCTTTATGGCCAGAACCCTGGCTTTCCCTGTGCCAGCCTTGCCCAATGCTAGGATATTCATTCCCTCTGTCTTGAAACTTGGACTATTACTACATTCCTATTAGTAAATTCATTCACGTTGCAGACTTAAAGCCAAGCGGACTGCCTGAGCCCTCAAGAGGCTGTTTGTGTTCCCAAGGTGCTCTTCACTGGCAGCTGCCTCGTCCTCTGCCAGGAAGCCTGCCAGGAGCACACAATGCTTCACCCGGACTGCCTTGGTGACAGTGATCACTTTGGCCCCAAATGGGTGTTAGATCTTCGCTGGGAAACACTTGGTAGAAAAGGTTTTTGAAATAATCCTTCAAAGCTTTGTGGCATGGATTTAATTCAGGGATGAAGATAAAGTGGGTTTCTGAAAAACACCTGCATGCTTCATGGCACATGCAAATTTTCTGCTGATTTTGTAGCATTCACACCTGTGACTCAGCAGTGCTTGACTCTAAATGTGAGGTTTTTCTTCCCTTAAAGAAAACAAACATGGGTGATATTCTAGGCACACACAAATAGCTTGCTCTGGAGGTGAAGTTTGCTTAAAGATTCTTCAATAAAATGGTTTTATTAAGTGTGATCTTGCTGACAAACAATTAAATGGAAACAATAATTTGCTCATATCTGTAATCGATTATGAGTGACACAGGACAGATGCCAGGTTTGATCTATGGCTGAAGCTTTGTAAGCGAGAGAGATGTCACACATTTGGGAATTGGGGCAGCAGGGAGAAAAGCCATTGGATTGGAATAAAATATATTCAATTTTGGCTTTGGCTGTCACTTCTTGTGACACCAAATTGACACCAAATGTAATAGCTTCCACCCTGGGCACTTGCAGGGCAGAAAGTGTAGCACACATAGGAATAAGATAACTGCGCATTATGCAACTGTTTCCAGCCTGGTGGGCAAGTGGACAGCTGTGCCATGGTAGAGGAATGTCTAGTGTTGCAGGAGTTATCAGCAATGTCTGGCTAAGATAGGTCCATCAGTGAGGAAAGTGGTTGTGAGTGACCCTAGTGGCAGCCTGTGGCCCACCACTGCTGACTGTGGCTGCCAGAGCACTTCTAATGAAGCTAATGAGCCAGTGTATGGTGGAGGAACCAGGCTGGTTAGTCACAGACACAGTCAGTCAGTGAACAGGTGAGCCAGCCGTGGACCCCTGGTTTGCTGCTTGAGGGTGTTATAGTTTGGGAGGATTCTCATGTCAGCTACAAGAGGTGTCATGGATGTCATGCTATGACTTTTTTGGGGCAAATTCCAATAGATTCAGGCAAATTTCAAAGAAAAGCTAATTTTAGGATGATCTTTTCAAGAGGCTGACGTCTATGAGAAGGGCTTTGCTGTAATGTGTTATTTTTTTTTTTTTAAAGATTTATTTATTTTTTTTCATTGGAAAGGCGGATATACAGAGAGGAGAGACAGAGAGGAAGATCTTCCATCCGATGATTCACTCCCCAAGTGAGCGCAACGGGCCGATACTATGCTAATCCAAAGCCAGGAGCCTCTTCCGGGTCTCCCACGCGGGTGCAGGTTCCCACAGCTTTGGGCCGTCCTCGACTGCTTTCCCAGGCCACAGGCAGGGAGCTGGAAGGGAAGCGGGGCTGCCGGGGATTAGAACCAGCGCCCATATGGGATCCCGGGCGTGCAAGGCGAGGACCTTTAACCACTTGCGCCACTGCGCCAGGCCCTGTGTTATTTTTAATATCCTGTTTCATGAGCTTCCACCTTTTGAGATATGAAGTGATCTTATTTGAGTGCTGTGTACCAGGCACAGTTCTGGGCCTGTGTTCTGGCGTCCCACACAACTTTATGTACTCTCGGTGTGCAGGGTTCAGAGAAGCAGATCCAGTTTAAGTAACTTACTCAAGTCCACGCTGGACAGGACTTCTGGGGCCCCAGGTCTCCCGTCTATGAGGAGATCGGTGTTGGACTTTGAATGGTTTCTGTTCATTCCTTAGTTGTGCCATTCGGTTGTAACTCAAGTCACAAGTCATTTGTTGAAGAGCTGGAGTCTGATGTGTATTTGTGCTGGTGTAGGTCATGGTTAATGCTGTTAGTTTTTATATTCTGAAGGCCTTGAGAAGAAGTGGAAGCTGGTACATAACCCCAGGGGGGCATGGGAAGTCACCCTCCTCTGCCACACCGGGGTGAAGCCTGATAGTCATAGGTTTTATTTTTTCTATCCCATGTGCTTCTTTGTTTTTCTGCCTGTGTCACACGCACAGTGACAACCATGGGTGTCATTGACCTGTACAGGGGTGCTTATGGATAAGGATCGTTCATTCCATTGAGGAGCACTGTTGGGTGTCTTGACCCAGTGAATGAGGGAATTCCCTTGACTCGGTAGCTGCCAGGTGTCACCTCCCTTGGGCTCCAGGAACTGGAAGCTGTCAGGAATCCAGGTCCTTCTGGGACTGATTGTCTTAGAAGGTAAGAAAATCCAGGGAGTTTGGAGTTGATCATGGGAAAGCAGCCTTGGGTGCTCCCTAGCCAGGCTGCTTGGTCACTTCCGCCATTGGACAATGTTCAGATTTTGTCTGCGTTGAGATATAATTAGAAAGTAACCTTGTTTTCATCTTCATCCACACTGACCACAGAATGGTCTGGTCTGATGTCAATGTGGAATTATGTTTAAGAAGAGGACACAGGGCCTACATCTGGCTGCCAGACCAGCCAGCCAGAGCCAAGCCAACCCCTGGCTGTCAGAGACCGCGACTCAGGATATGGAAGACCTGAGTATTCCCTAATCAAATCTCAAACTGCCCTTGTTTAATGTTGAGCACTCCCTGTGTCTGGGCACTGGGGTGGAGGAGTTGGGCTGTGTATGCCCTGTGACATGGCTGCTGCCCTGACTACATTAGCACCATGACAGTCATTTCTCATGACTTCTGAAATGCCTGACCTTGCTCAGTTCCTGTCACACTTAGTAGCTGATGCAGCCAGATGCAGGATTGCATCAGCCTTCACTCTCCACTAACCCAGTAATCAGATGATGTTTTCAACATAGGTGCAGTGCCTTTCCTTTTTAGTAACTGGGTGGTGTTGTAAGGCAGCAAAACATTCTGATATAGCTTAGCATTCAAATGTTAACCTCACAAGATAAACATCTCATAGAGCTTTGAGAAAGATGGAAGTTTAATAGTTAATGAGGACAGTGTGATGGAGGCAGCGCCTAGAGCGGGAAGGGAAAGTGTTTACCTGGCAAGGCAACTCCAGTGTTCTGTCATGATGTGCAGACTCATAGAATCACCCAGAATTCGAGGGGACCCCATTCTGCTGTCACTGAGGCCCATCTGCTCAGCAGCAACGGGAGAGGGGAAGCTCTGTGTCAGAGAACCGAAGTCTCAGCGCAGTGGCACTAAGATCCCCGAGTGTCCTGCTAATGACAGCACTCCGTTCTGAGGGGTTCCAGAGTTTCTGATAGGCTGTGCTCATCCTCACTTCATTAGCTGTTCTCAGTGGAAGTCAGCATCAGTATGGCTTCGAAAGCTTCCCATGTTCCTCTGTGCCAAGGCTGCTGTCTCCTGTTTTTGTGAGAAACATTGACACAGTGAGAGCCCATGGGTGCTGGTACCAGGGCAGCTTAGATGCGGTGAAGAGCAGCACGGCAAACAGAGACGTGAGCCATACATGGATTTTAAATGTTCTAGTCATCCCACTAGGAAGGCAAAAAGAAACTGATAACCTTGATTTTAATAGAAAATTGTATTTTACTCCAAATAGCTAGAGAACTGACTTCATAATACAGTGTCTATTTTACTCAAGGATATCTCATTTTGGACTAGCCACATTCCAAGGGCTCATCAGCAACTTGGTGACTGTAGTATTTGCAGGGGTGACACAGATCTAGAATTCAAGGGAAACTGTGGCTCCTCTGGTTTCTTGGAGTAAGTGTGGGGTTCTCTTGTGAACTTCTATTGGTTCCTAAGACCACAGGAAGTCGAGTCAAATGGAGAACTGCTCCAGGTGGTCCACTCAGTGACCCCAGCTTGCACTGAGACCTTCATCTGGCCTTCAGGCAGCCGGCCTTGATCTAGGATCCAGGGAAGAGAACTGTCCTTTTAGCTCCTAAGTTAAATCATTTAAGACTGTTGTAGTTGACATAGGCTAATTTTCCCCTAAGAGATAAGTGTGTTTGAATATATATATATTTTCCATAATAAAGTTACCATCAAAATGACTTGCCAAGTTTTGGAATTTACTGTATTTTATGTCTGTCTGTCTGTCCGTTTGTCTTCTACTTGGGAATATTAGAGAAGACTCCAGAAGTAGGTGGTTATTCAGCTGTGTCCTTTTGAAAAGTGGGTCATCCTTTACTGCTGCTTTCCCAACCATAAGCAGGGAGCTGAATGGGAAGTGGAGCAGCCGGAACACCAAAAGGCACTCATGTGGGAGGCTGGCGCTTGCAGGTGGTGGATTAGTCAACTGAACCATTCTGTTGGGCCCAACTTTGTACTTTTTTATTT